CCCCCCCCCAGCAGTCTGCCCCAAAAGGATCTTTGCCACAGGAAATGAGACCCAGCGATGGGTCTTTGAGCATTAGGCAGTGCTTGAGCTGGGAAGTTTATTTTTCTCATTGAAAAGTGGCATCTAAAATGTCAGTTTTTTCCTAATCCACTGAGATTAGAAATCCCCCCCAGGGCAAAGGTTAGGCTCTTAAGCTTTGGCAGGCCAACTCTGTCAAAGGCGAAATGTTTCCTTCTGTTTTACAAAACCCACATCAGGATGTTTTCTTTTTCTAAACTATTCAAGTAAATGCTTGTTGTGTGAGCGCTAGCTACTTAGCATGAATCATAAAAGTGGCCTGTAGGTCAGCTTTAAAGCAGGGAAGGGGTTATGTTTTTTAAACAAGCCGGCCAGCGGTCTAGCCTGAATTCAGCAGAAACACGTAAACTGGAAGTTGGAGACTCAGAAAGGAAGAGCCATTTATTTTCTCTACAACATCCAATGGCCAATGAAAATAAACTTTAATCCATCCATCTTTGTTTAGCCTAATCCTGACCCCCAGCTTCACAGGAGGTTTCTGGCATAATTTCTCAAAATACTTAAAAAAAAAAAAAAAACGAAGACCTGTAAGAAATTAATTCAGTCATTATTATTGGCTGCCAGATTTGTTACTCTAAAAGACAGGAAACCCAAAGGATACCTTTCTCTGGGTCAGTGGGATCTGAACGTGTGGGGTGCTGAGTGGGCCAAAAAATTATCACAACAAAGAGCTTTGAAAAAACTCCAGTGAGGGACAAATACAGTCAAACTGGCCACCCTTCATTAGCTACCTTAATTATATATATATTTTAAACAGATTATAATTATCTGTACCGTTTTGATATAACTACAGGTAGGTCTCAATTAGTGTGGTTAATTAATTCCGTGAAATGGTCACATTATTCAAATTAGCACTATTCGAAGTGCTATTTCTATGTAAATAGGGTAATTGGTTCCAGTTTGACGGAAACAAACAATGAAAAATGTTAAACATAAATGTTTATATGTATATTAATGAAATATTAACAGCAAAGAATAAAAAGAATATAATTTAAACTCATGGTTAACCAAGTCACAGAGTAGTTATAGAAAGCAAAATAAAGACAAGGAAACAAAATCATACCACGGATTCAGGCATTCCAACCTCTCATCCTATTGTAGTGCTGCTGTGACCATGTTCACGTCATTCAATTACATCTAACGTTTGCTCTAATGTAATAACAAGCCTCTTCTTTTTTAAACTTTTACTGTCTTCCTCTGATGGAATCTTCCTTTTCTCCATTTTGCACATACAAAGATTAGCAGTGTCTAGAACTCCAACGGTAACTGCACATGTGCTAGCCTCAAATGCATGTGCGCTCGCTTCGCATTGATTTTTAGGCTGCATTAAACATGACCTGGCACTAATTTACAATTTGCACTAATTCGAATATCGCAATATTTTAACTCTCGCTAATCATGACCTGTCTGCACTGAATGCAGATGCTACATCTTCGCATGTCTCAAGCCCCATTTTAATTCACATTAATTTTAAAATTTGCTCTTGGTCTTATCTTGCCTTTTATTTTTAATGGTGTTACTAGCACTGCTGCTGCTGCTATAATTACTACTACTACTAATAATGTTCTTGTTTTTGTGCAATAAATAAGGGGGGCAGATAGCCACCAGCCACCACCAGTTGCATTGCCTTGCATTATCTTGATATCTTTATGAGTCCAACCCAAGGTGTTCAAAGGGTGGACTTTCAATTTCCCCACGGGCAATACGGTAAATGAAGCAAAAAGGGTGCTGGGGAGGAGGCAATATCCAAGTCCCAGGACCCACGTTTAACTCCAGATAGTCCTCACTTAACGTCCATTTGTTCAGCGCTGAAAAAATGGACTTACGACTGGTCCTCGAACTTATTCGATTATTCAGAGTTGTTCAAGAAGTCAGGACAAGAAACAACAGATTTAAAGCAGATGCTGGTGAATATCGTGGTAAACCACTCCTAATGGCAAGAGCTGTTCAACAATGGAACAGACTTTCCTTCTCCAGGAGGCGTTTACAGAGTGGCTGCACTGCTGCTTGCAGGGATGCTGTGGGAGTGGACTCCTGCCCTGGGCAGGGGTTGGACATGATGGGCCCCAAGGTTCCTCCCAACCCTCACATTCTACAATCGCATAATTCAAATAAAATGAACAACCAGGTAGATTATTTTGATCATGCCTTGGCATCCCCGAGAGCTGCCTTTACAAACCTGAAGAAAGCTAGAAGTCTCTAGAGAAACCATGACTGAAAGAAGCAAGCTGGTGGGAGCCTATTCCGAGTGTCAGCCTTCCCCGAATGGAGGCCCTCCAGAACATGTAGAACTGCAACTCCCAGAATTCTTAGTCAAGATGGCTGTGCTATCCAGGGAATTTGTACCCTTGAAGAATCATACAGTTACTGAGTTGGAAGGGTTGACTCACACATCCAATGCAGGAATTCAAGGTAAAGCCTCCCCAGCAGATGGCTGTCTGGCCACCATTTGAGCGCATCCAGTGAAGGGAAACCCTCACCTCTCCAGGTCATGGGTTCCACAGTTCAACTCCCCAAAGGGACTACAGATGAGTTAAATCAGAAAAACGACGTGGTGGTAAGGAAAGGGTTAGTCTCTTGCCCACATCTTGATCTAACCAACCTTTTCAACCAATGTGGAAAATCCGATGACAAGCAAATGCAGCCAGGTCCTTGGCCGAACCCTCAGCCCCTTCTCCTCCCCTAAATCTCCAGACGCAGCGAGCCTCAGGGCGAGGTCTCGAAGCCTCGCTTCCCGCTCGCGCTCTGCCCACCAAACACTCTGCCCGGGCCACTGTTTACAACACTCCTGGTGCAGATAAAACTTCGGAATGCCGCAAGAGGAAGAGCCCTGCCTCGCGTTTCTTTTCTGAACCAGCAGGACACGCTGAGACCCAGGAAGGGGAAGAGGCCACGTTACTGGCAGTGCCCGCAAGAACAGAAGAGCCTGCGATCAGGGCCAACCTGTGACATCCACCTGCTTGGGCATTTCTCTCGGATCCGAGGGCTTAGAGAAGCCAGATGCTGTAGAGATGGTCCAAATGTGGGTGAACGAGCCACCAGTGTTTCTGCAGACAACCCCAAACCAGAGTCTCTTGCTGGCCACCAGTCCAGGGACCAGAGTTAGCCATCGGCCACCAAGCCATTTGCCTTGTGGTTTAGGGAGGACATCTTTCAAAATCTGCCCAAGCAGAGGGCTTTGCCATAGCCAAACCTTTGCCAGCAAGTTTCACTGATGCCAGTCTGGAAGCTGCCCAGATGCCATAAAAAGACCTGCATATGGAGCAACTGCACACACAGCTCATGTTGGCACCCTCCTCACTCCCAAGCCACCGCGTGCCTCATGGGCATGGCCAGACCCAATTGGAGAATGGTCCAACTAGCCAAACGCCAAGCACTGCCCTAATGAGAGGCTCCAGGTGATTCAGCCAAGAACACGCCACCCTAGATGCCCACTTACTTGCTTCACTGGCAGGACAGTCCTGGGAATTGCATTTCTGGGTGTTCTCCGGCCACTGTTCGTGCTCACATAAGCTGCTGTCTTCTTCTGCCTCCCCGGTTTTTGTGTTCAAGCACTTCACTTGCCTCCTCTGGATGCCCTCGCCACACGTGGCCGTGCACTGCAGGAAACAAAAGTGTGCTTTGACCACCGGCCCTGCCCTGCTTTCCTCCGAGGGCAACGGAAGGCTTCATTTGACTAGGAACTGAGTGACCACCTCACAGGTGGGTTTACCTGCCCCCAAGATCCCACTGTCCACTTGGTGCACGGCTGGGTGTTGCAAGCTCTGGTATTGTTTGGCCGGAGGGCTGGGTCACACCTCCCCAATCCGGGGCACGTCACCAGGCGCTCTTGCTCACCTCCTCCGCACAGCTCAGAGCACTGGAAAGGAGGAAAGAGGCATTCAGCGGTGCGGATCTAACTCAGAAGCAGCCAGGGTGGCTGGCCCCCTCGGCGCTTGCTTCCTGCCAAGCCACCACAGGAGTCCCAGGCCATGTGCCGATCCTCCACCATGGAGCAACTGCAGCCAGGCCCCCCAAGAGCAGGCAAGCCATGCGTTGTGGCTTCCATGTCAACTGAGGATATTCTGGCACTGCGGGAACCGGTTCTTGGGGAGCCCTTGAATCTCCTTCTTGGACCTGCTGCGCTCCAAGCCAGAAACACAACAGGGTGTCCACAACCTGCTGGTTATGTTTTTCAGTCAGAAACAGCAACCCAGTTTCCAGGCTGTCTCTAGTGCTGCTAGTGCCTTCCCCCAGAGGATTTCTTTGGCCATTAGAGCAAAACTGCCCACGAGCTAAGCTGGGAATTTACTCCATTTTCTAACATTCAAGGCGCCTTATAAGCACGACATCGTTAATACAAAAGGCCCTTATATGAGCCAATATGACATGACATTTTCCTCCTCCAAATGCACAGAACATAAAAAAAAGAGTCCAGGATGGTGGCATTCGGCCAGGAGGCAGTTACAGAGAACTCCTGAGCGTCTGTTTGGCCATCCCTGGTATGTGCACGTGGCTGTGTACAGCTAAGAGGAGAATCCCCCGCACTCTTTCAAACAGCCGTCACTATGGTGGTGGAAAGGCGTGGCTGTTTCTTCGCCTGCATCGGCCAAGAGACCTTCTCCTCTACCTTCAGTGGTGTTCACCTGGGCAGGTGTTCCCGCTGCCTCTCCTGAGGATTTATGACGTCCAAGCCCCTGAGATGCCAGGGCATGAGACTGCTACCTTCCACAGAAAGATGGGTCCTCTGCTCAGGTCTACGCCCCCTCCAACCACTTCTCCAGGTGCCCGATGCTATCAAGGGGGACAGTCCTGCTGGCTGCCATCTCAGCTCTGGGCTCTCAGAGGTAGGGCAGCTTTTCCAGAATGCCCGGCAGCTGTCAGAGTCAGTCGGAAGGTCAGCCATTTACGACCCAGAGCATTTAAGAGCCAAGGATTAGCCAGCCCTCACTGGTCTTGGGTGACTATTTTCGCAGAGCCAGGGCGCTGACCCTCACTGGCCACGCCTAACATTGAAGTGGCGAAGACAGCAGTGCCAGGAGTTAAAGAAGGGACTGGCAAACGCACACACTGCTGCCTCTGGGCTAACAGGCCTGGAGAGCCCAGCCAGGACCTCATTTTTCTGCTGATATGGACAAGTTTAACCCGGAACACAGAAGCAGCAGCTAAAGTTTCATGAAGAGCAATCCGTACAGAACGTTTCACGCAATGAAAGGCAACCCTGGCTTTACGTAACTGTTATTAGGAAGGACTAATATTGTTCACCGGATATTGCTACCGGAGCCCAACTAACACAAAAGTTATATTGCACTCTGCTGCCTGATCAATAGACTCAAGAGAATTAGATATGTGGGATTCGAGGAAATGAGCGAAGACTGCTAGGAAAATAACCGCAGTGGGCAGCGTGTGTGTGTGCTTGAAGCAAATTAAGAAATAAAGAATTCAGGATGGAACAGTAGCAAGAATAAAAAAATTCAAAGTTTTAATATAAAAACAGTATACCATATAAAACTGTTCATAGATCACATGCTTATTTTTCTTTAACTATAGTTCAATTTTGAATTGAAGTAAATAAATTTCATAGAATAGAAGATAATTTGGATAAATTTCAAACTTTGAAAGTTTCAAAGATAATTTTGATAAATCTATTATGCGAATTAACAACACTAAGGAATCAAAGAATAGATGATACAAATTATTCTTACATATCATTTACATTATTTTTTAAAATGTCAAGTATTCTTAATTCTGTTGCTTACCATTTGGTTTTGTATAGTTCAAAAAACTTTTTCTTTATTTATGTATGATAAAAAAAGAATGAAGATTATCCAATCTATACAGTATAAACAAAACCATGAAGGGGTTTAAGTAAACAAAATTTCAAACATTATTTTGATGACTTGCACCTAAGAAAATAAAACTGTATATCTATGTTAACAACAAGAGAAATGTAAATAAAAATGAATTATGTAAAACAAAACAAAAACTGAATCTGCAAACAAACCAGGGAAATGGCTGGCTATAAATTACAAAAGAAAAGAGAAAAAAAGAAAACATGATACTGAAATTACAAGATGGAAATACTATGACAACAGACAATGTAAGTATACGAAAAACATTCCATCAATTTTATTAAAAACTATATAAAGGAGAAGAAATTCCCTCAGCGAAAGTTGATGAATATTTAAAGAAACGGAATTTACCAAACATTACAGATACACAGAGACAAATAATGAACGGACCTATAACAATAAGGGAAATTTGTGAAGCTACAAAAAACACTAAAATAGGGAACGCGTCGGATCAGATGGCCTACCAGATTCCTAGTACTGTATAAACATTTTGAGGATGAACTATTACAGTCCTTGCAAAAAATGATGTTAGAAGCTAACACAGCATTATTACCTAAAGAAGGCTAAGACATGACTTGACCAAAAAAATATTGACCAATGTCATTTCTGAACAATGACTATAAGCTATATACAATGATTTTGATTGAGAGGGTGAAAATTGTTCTACAGAATTTCATTCATGAAGATCAATGTGGTTTTTTATGCAAAAGACTTTTGAGAATTATTAGAAGTGTGTGTGTGTGTGTGTGTGTATAAATACTCCTCTCACCCCTATGGGTGGTATGTGTCTTCCTCAATCTCGCGTCCTCTCCCAGAGGCCTGGGAGTTTGAGGGTTCTGCGCAGGATCTGAGCTGTTCCTAGCACTGACTCTTCTGGACAGAGAGCTATGAGGTT